GGGGCTGCACACTGGTGGTGGTGGAGGGGATCCCTATTCCCTGTGCAGCGCTTTGAGTGGAGTGTCCAGAAAAGCGCTCTATAAGTGTGAGCAATTGTTATTATACCCTGTTTCTGCGTGACTGGTGTCGCTGCCTGCGGGTGATCTCCCCCTCTGTGTCTGTCTGTGTATCTCAGTCTGGGTCCTTGTGTCTGGATCTGCTGGACCCGAGTGTGAGGAAGAACTGGGCAGCCTTGTGGAAACGTGTCCGAGGGCCCTTGGGTGCTGATCAGCACCTCTCAGTCTCGCGTTCTGTGTGAAGCAAAACCCCTCTGTGACGATCCTTCACCCCTTGTTTAACAGATTCCTGTTACTCCCCTCAGAACACAGATACCCCCCCCCAGCTCCAAAAGCAGCAGATCTAAGATCTCATTCGTACCTGCAGTGATATCCTTACTCAGCTCTCGATCACCTATGCAAATGTGCGTGCATGTCGGTGTTGTGGTGTTTGTTCTGTCTGTCTCTCTGGACGCCCACACTGCTGCTGTGAAACGTGCTGCCCCCTCAGGGGTGACAGAGGCTCTCTCTCTCTCTCTCTCTGCAGCGGGTGGGAGCTGAGGGGCTGACGGGAGACCTGTGTCCAGGGCCTGCTGGACTCCCCCAGTCCTGCACAAGAGCCCAGCTGCCCGCCCTGGGAGCAGAGACGCAGGCCCACCTGTCAGGAAGAGAAGCACCAGCCCCTTCCTCTCCATCCCGGCAGATCCGCTCAGAGGCGCAGGCGCGGCGTGGCTCCTGGCTCCGGGTTCGAATCCTCCTGCGTGACACAGCACAGGCGCGTCTGACACAGCTCCTACAGGTCACGGGCGGAGCTCGGGTCTCGCTCATGGGCTCAGTCAGATCTGAATGAACTCAGCCCTGCTGGGCTGCTACCGATCCCCCTGGCTGGTGTGGATCGGTCACCAGTGGAGACTGGGGGAGACTCAGGACTCTGGAGAGGGGCAGGACCCCCCTCTCCCACTCAGAAAGGCGGGATCCGGACTGTTTCTCTCCTCTCTCTTGTGTCTCCTCTCTCTGCTCTCCCCTCTCTCTCTCCTCTCTCCCCTCTCTCCAGTCTCTCCCCTCTCTCTCTCCCCTCTCTCCTGTCTCTCTCCCTCCTCTCTCTCTTCTCCACTCCCTCCTCTCTCTCCTCTCTCTCCACTCCACTCTCTCCCCTCTCCCCTCTCTCCTCTCTCTCTATGATCCACAGTATCTCTCCTCTCTTTCTCCTGTCTCCTCTCTCTCCCCCCTCTCTCCTCTCTCCCCTCTCTCCAGTCTCTCCCCTCTCTCTCCCCTCTCTCTCTCCACTCCCTCCCCTCTCTCTCTCCACTCCCTCCCCTCTCTCTCTCCCCTCTCTCCTGTCTCTCTCCCTCCTCTCTCTCCTCTCTCTCCACTCCACTCTCTCCCCTCTCCCCTCTCTCCTCTCTCTCTATGATCCACAGTATCTTTCCTCTCTTTCTCCTGTCTCCTCTCTCTCCCTCCTCTCTCTCCTCTCCACTCCCTCCTGTTTTGCCTACAGACACAGGCTGATTGTCTATCTTCTGTTTCCACTATAAATAAACTCTAGAAGGAAGTACATTTTATTAAAATAATAAACCCATCCAACATAACCATCCAACACAGCTACTGTATAGACACAATAGTCAAGTCTTATTTTAAATCCTGTTTTTGTAAAAAAACAACAGATCATATCAACCAGTAAATGAATGACAAGTGTTTCAGAGGTCTTGTCACGGTATTGACCCCAGAGGGGAGAGCACTCCCGAAGACCAGAGACAGGCAGTGTACAACTGATGCCTCGACTCTATAGGTACCCCAACACCTCCATCTCTAACCTGTCTCTCTCTCCTCTTTCACCCCCATCTCTAACCTCTCTCTCTCCTCTCTCACCCCCATTTCTAACCTGTCTCTCTCTCTCCTCTCTCACCCCCATTTCTAACCTGTCTCTCTCTCTCCTCTCACCCCCATCTCTAACCTGTCTCTCTCTCACCCCCATCTCTAACCTGTCTCTCTCTCCTCTCTCACCCCCATCTCTAACCTGTCTCTCTCCCTAACTTTCTCTAACTAACTGCAGAGGGATGCACCTTGAACTGAAACCGCAGTGAGGAATAACCAGCTTCCTAAGTAAACA